TATATATCTATATATCTATATATCTATATATCTATATATCTATATATCTATATCTATCTATCTATTTATCTATATATATATATATATAAAGATAGCCACAAAAGCAATCCCCACCCCAAGTTTCAAATATATAAAAATGTGCACCAAAGGTAAGTTTCCTAATTCTGAAGATGTTCAAAGCTTATTCAAACAAATGTTAACCAGATCGGCAACTAACTAAGGTTCGCTATCCATATCAAGTCAAAGGTTTATTGGATCACAGACAAGCACATCCTTATCTATACTATTTACATAATGTGGTGAAAGCTCCTTATTTTGCAATGTTTGGGTTGTATACCATCTCTCCCAACTTTTAGTGAAGACAATGCAAGAATGTTTCAGTACTTTCCGCCCACGCCCTCACCCTTTCCCCCCCCCCTTCTTTTTGCATTGGATTTCTCTGGGAATTATCCACACGCTACCCACCCACACACGCATCCTCGCTCTCCTTCCGGCAATCTACAGCGGCAGGAACCAACTGCAGCGCCGGAGTGGTGCAAATAGCCTGCTAGGCGAGAAAGAGGCAGGGCGCTTATCTATATTCCCTTCGCCCTTTCCCCCCCTCCTCTTACAAACGCAACTCTGCCCAATACACCTATTTAATTTAGAAGGAATCCCCCACTTAGCCTCCCTGTTACTTGCTCCCAGGTAAAAGGCGCAGAGGAATTGCGGCCCCGTTTCAGACAGGCCGCTGTCCCCATCAGTTTCGCTTCTGATAAACACGGCTCAAAGAAACTCGCACGGATGTTACCTGTGCACGTTGCCCGTCCGGGTTTCATCTAGAAAGGTTTCATCCCCACCTGCCACCCAAGCTGGTTCGCGCATTTTTTTTTTTAACCGGACGTTGACTTAACTCGGGGCGAGTTAAGAAGTACGCGCGCAAGTTTGCAAGCCGCGCAAATCGGGCTGCAGGAGGAGACGCCGAATTCAAGACAACCCGTTTCAGTTGAGAAACCCGAAGCGCGCGCACACACGCCCCTTACTCCAGCGATCGACATGATGCTTAGCATAAAAGTAAGGATCGCGGCTGAAAAACCATGAAAAACGAGATTTGCGATTTTCATGCTATTTCTTCCGGAGTACATCATTATTAAACCCACGGGGGGCAATTTCATTACTCCCAGCAACTTGCAACGACTGAACGCAGCTTGGCTTAAAAGAGCTCTTCCCACCCCACCCCCACCGCCCGGTCCTGCAATGCTCGTTTCGAAAGATGCCAGCCGAAACCTCCGGCACACGCAGCGACCCCCACACAACGCATTCTGTGCTTAGCGGGCGCCGGAGCCTCGGAAAGTCGCGCCAAGGCAAACGACCGGGCGAGCGAGAAAAAAAGCGCACGCGGCGCCAAAGGGTGCGCCGCCGCGGAGCTTTCGGACTGCGCCGCCCCACGCCTTCGGAGTTGGAGCGGAGCGAAGCCGCCGCTCCGCCTGGAAACTCCCGGGCGATCGCCAAGCACCAGGTGAGATCCGAGTCCTTCCTTACTTGTCTCCAGGACGTCCTCGCAGCCGCCGCCGCCGCCGCCGCCACTGTTCTTGACTGACGTCCCGGCCGAGGAGGCTGTTGGTCTGAAGTTACGGCCGAAGTCCCCCTCGCCTGCGGCCAAGCTTTTCCCTTTCCATCAGTGGGTGTGTGCTCCTTCCGCCGCCTCTCAGGCTTCGCTCTGACCCGCAAGCCCGGAGCGCGGGAATGGCTGCCGCTCTGGCGGCGGCGGGAGCAGAAGCAGCAGCCTCCGCCTCCTCCTCCACCGCTGCCGCCGCCACCGCCGCCGCCGCCTCCTCCTTTCCTTCTCCTCTGCCTGCGCATCCACGGCCCCCTCCCGCGCGCCGTCACATGGGGAGATTCCGCTCTTGCTCCCCGCCTGCTCTTGCTCCTCCCTCCCACTCGCGGCCGCGTGACGCAGATCCTGGCGTCGGCAGCGCGGGGCCGGGGGCGGCGGCTGCTCCTCCTTGGCTCGGCGGCCCTTGCCTGGAACAGAAGGCAGGAACCGCCCCGAAGGAAGCGCTTGGCAGCCGAGCAAAAGGGAGAGGCGGCCCCAGGGGGCTCGCCAGTGAGGAGGGAGCGGCCAGCCCCTAAGCGGCTGGCTGCCTCTACTTCAGGGGGAGCAGGGAGGGCGTTGAAAGGACGTTGAAAGGACGCCCAGCTTCTGGGGAGAGGCGGTGGCGTGGGCTCCTCTTCCCTGTGGGAGAATGCAGAATGGGGGGAGGTCTCATTCAGCAGCGGGACGGTTTTAAAGTTTGGCTATGCTTGGATGCCCGCGTTGAGTCACCGCCCCAGCAGAACCGCAGCTTCCTAATGGGTTTTATTTTCAGGGCTATTATTATTTTGGGTGGGTAATCTTCTATAGTTAGATTCTCAATCTAAGACTGGTGGAAACTTAATAATTCAAGGGCCTAAGAATTAGTATTAAGGTACTGTCTAAGAATCAGTTTCAAGCAAGGTGTTTGTGTGTGTGTAAAATTAGGGTGTTTGGGTCTGATAAATTCCATACGTCCAGATATCAATTGCTCTCATGACAACGGATTTCTTTTTTCCATAAGTGTTCAACTTCAATCTGCTAGCCCTGGTAGTTCATCATTTTTTCCAATTATTTTTTCATCTATCCTAGGGTCGCCTGGAAGAGCATCGTCAATGAACCAGGCATTCTTCATTTCAATAACTGATATGAGACTTGTTATGAATAAGATGCCTATGTGGAGTTTAAAAGTCCCATAAGATCTTTACCCGTTCATTATCCAAAACCTTCTCTACTTGATGGATCCCAGTAGTTTTACGACATTTTCAGATTCAAACCTCAGGCAAAGTTGTCAATGAAGAATTCTGGCAACTTAGGCATAATGTTGCTTGAATTCAGTTGGTGAAATTTTGCTGCAGCCACTGATCAAATGGACAGTTGTTTTATCCTTTTTACTGTAAAGTTGACATTTGCTGTTCGTTACATGTTGAATTTTCACTTTTATGCAATTAATTGGCAAAGCTTGTTCTTGACNTCCTAGCACGCATAATGGAGTGAGCTCCCATTACTTGTCCCAGCTTCTGCCAACCTAGCAGTTTGAAAGCACGAAAAAAGGCAAGTAGAAAAATAGGAGCCACTTTGATGGGAAGATAACTGCACTTCATTTGCCTTCAGCATTTAATTGTGCCAGCCACATGACTATGGAGACGTCTTTGGACAGCGCTGGCTCTTCGGCTTTGAAACAGAGATGAGCACCGCCCCCTAGAGTCAGAAACGACTAGCACATATGTGCGAGGGGAACCTTTACCTTAAAACCAATCAAACTTATTTCCAAATGCAGGGGTCAGAGTGATATCTCGATCCATTCATTCTCATTCTCTCTCTCTAAGACCAAGTGGTTATTTTGGGAGGAGGAGGAAGAAAATAAGACCCTGTCTTATTTTCAGGGACACACATTATTTAGACCTGGGTTCCACCAGTGTTCCTCCTCTCCACAAAATAGCAAGCTGCTCAGTACAAAAATAAGATTCTTTTAACAAATGAAATCAATATGAAGAGAGGATGAAGCAATTTTAAGATTTACTGACAATTCTACAGAGATCTTTAAATGTAATGATACAGTTTCAACTGTCTACCAAATTTGTATTACATTTTTTGTACACTGCATATTTTTGCAATATTATTTTTGTAGCAGAATACAGTAATAACCTTTCTATATTTATGCCTGAATGTGCACTTAGATACAGCTCAAATATTTATTACCTACCAATTACCTCAACTATGGATGTAATTTGGTAATATATCCAAGAGTCCCTACCTTAAATATTTCAAATACTCAAAGTATTCAAGTACTGTAAATAAGACCTCCTAAATTGAAAAGCTGAACCGTGTATATCATTTTCTATCACACTTTTAGTTGTGCTATGTCCCCAGACACTTAAGGGAGAGAAGGGGAGGGGGGGCAAGAAATCAGAATTTTATCAAGAAAGCATTTTATCTTGGTTTTGACTTGCAAGGGGACAGCAGTATTACCATGCCTATTGAAACATGTATGAGTACCATACTGATAGTGGAACTGAAGTTTTAAAACTGAATTAAAGATGTTCATATGTATGTATGTATGTATGTATGTATGTATGTATGTGTATATATATATATATATATNGGTTCTCCGAACTACTCAAAATGTCCACTCCAGAACTGGTCAGAACCTGCTGAATACCACCTCTGTATGTACAGTAAATCCCCAAACATGACTCAATGTAAGATCTGTACCTCTAAGAGTTTAAGGGAAGCAGGTTGTATATATTATACTGATAGAGTTTCTACGTCTCCTTTCTTACAATTGCCAAGACCTGGGTACCTTTTAAAATTAATGCCCTGCACCTCAAGTGCAAAGTCAGTTCAATTCAAAATTATTATACTATATGAGGTTCAATGCGGTACATATGATATGGAGGAAGGAACCCCTTTATATAATAAAAGCTATGTACTCAATTGATAATCTGGTGATTCTGGTGGATAGTCTAACCAAATTATAATATGCATGTATTCATTCAATCAATCAATTTATATAGCCTCTCATCTCACATATGTGACTCAATGTGTATATCAATGTGGCTGATCATTCCTGAAGCTCAGTTGACCAAATTTGAATCAAGTTAATTACAGCTTCATTCATCAAAGTTGGGGGTCATAATTGGAAGGATGAAAGAATTAACAGCCATAGACTTTTGGAAGCTGAAGCCTGAAGTATTGCTAAATCAAATATTATTCTCTTGATCCAACCAGTGCTGAATACCTGGTATATATATATGTTTAGTAGATGGCCTGGTCAATCCAGAATGCTCTTTTTCCAATTGTAAGCGGGTGACAGAAATTCATTTAGGAACCAAGTTAGCCACTATCTTTCTGGTGTTTCCTACCTATCTGGAAGACAGGAAATTAGAGAAGGCTGCTGTGAAGTATTTTATGTCTACTACTTTGCTTGAAATGATTAGTGATCTCCTGTCTATGTAGAACCTGCAAAATATATTCAACTCTTTCTTTGCAAGAATTAACCAATCATAAGACGCGAAGGCTGAAGTCATCGTACACTAAGGCTGCTTGGTTTCTTCTACAGCTTTGTTGGCATGTCAGCCATTGAGTATATTTATAGTTATGTATAATGTGTATTAATGACATCCTTGATTTTTTTTAAAAATAAATCTTTAGCTTATATTACTGCTTGCATCCAAAAGCAAAAGCTGGTCAATAAACATTTTAGCATCAGTCAGTTCAAGTGATCTGAATCCAATAATGTTACCTTTCCAAGAGCCACAAAATGGAAAGTGAAAGAATGATTTATGAAGCTTAGCTATGCATGGCCAGACGGGGGTGGGTGGGAAGAGAGGGAAAGAGCTTAAACCGATGATTGCAGGATTCCCTTTAATGAAGTACAAGTTGCCAAGACAAGTTTAGGTAAATGAAGCCCTTGTCACAATAAGTTACAAAGAAAAGAAATGACAGACACAACAGGACAGATGGTTGCTATTATTAAGTGTGATGTCAGGAAGATACGCTAGGTAACCTCAGAGATGAAGCAGTTGTATTAGTGCTGTGGCTGCAAACAGTAGCATAATACCCTAATCAAGGAACTAGCTAGGAGAAAACCACACCCCCACAAACACTATCAGGGGAAAATTACTGTATACAAATAGGGAGCAAACCTTTCACTATCTGGCATTGATGATGTTACCTACTGGGTAATGAAACCTCTGCAAGTAAATGACCAAGCTCAGAGAGCACCAATATTTGGGTTAATGTCAGGGTTCCAAATAGCATCCAAAAGTAAATCAGAGTCCAAGACAAAGTGTTGCTCAAAGTTCCAATTTATTAAGAGACTCATGTTGGAACATCTGGAAAAACCTGAATCTGAAAGCTTGCCTGTTTTCCCCACCCAGTTGAAAGTTCAAGATCTTGCCCCCACACCCAAAAGTCCATCACATGGTCCAATCTTCCATTGCTGTGCTGGCAGTTCCACCCATCCAGTTCCGGTCAGGTGCAAAGACAAACAATGACCTTGGCTTTCTATAAAGAATTTTGTTATGGCTACATATCATCTAATTCCGTACAATCCCCCCTCCCATTTTCCCACAATAGAAAATGCATAGTAGAATAATAGAAAGTGTGACAGGCCAAAGATCCAAAAGAAAAGATGGCTGCAGGCCTGACAAATTTGCATTTATGAAATCTGTTCAAGTTGAGCCTCACAGATTTTGTGTGTGTTGAGGTCTTTGAGTCAGCGTTGACATCTGGCAATTGCTTGGACTAGTCTACAGTTTTCTTGGCAAGGTTTTTCAGAAGTGGTTGGCACCCTACTGGCATCTTGAAGAAGGGTTAATTACATATCATGCAGAGTGTTTCTCCAAGCCATTGGTTTACTGACCCAGGAGGAGTCTCGGTTTTTAAAAATCCTGTTATTATGCTGCTATGCTGTTGCTAAGTGTGACTCACATTCAGTCCACTAACCTTTTCTTCATCTAATAATTTCAGTCTTTTGGATCATCCTAAGTCCCGTTCGATGATAGGAATTAGAGAGGCACATTCTGCAATCATTTTTAATTTCCAGCACTAGACGTCTGCCTGTAATATCTGAAATTTGGTGGTTTAAACTTTTTCATTTTAAGGGGAATGCCCTGTAGTCGGCATAATATAGTTTTAAAAAGTGAATAAAAATAATAATATGATTAAAGAATCTAAAAATGTTGATTAAATAATAATATAAATCACATAAGGGATGCGGTGGCATAGTGGATAAGATGCTGAGCTTGTCGATCA